CTATGCCTTTTTCGTAGCAGAGTCCAAGGTTAAATTGCCCATTAATATTACCACCTTCAGCAGATTTTAAATACCACAACTGCTCAAGCAACCCCGCAAAGAACAGATTCAAATATTTCTCAAGATACTGATGAATCTCTTTCAGCACCACCAAGTAAAAATTTAATTCTCACACCAGAACCTTCTAGTCCGTCAAGTGACGGTCCTGTTAATTTACTTACACCTGAGCCAGAAAGGCCAAGCAAAAAACGTAAGGGCAAACAAATCGAATCTCAAGGTGCATATTTTTTTCAATGATTTAAAAACAATGTATATTGTATATTGTGATTATAAATTTTTGACTTATATTCGTGTTTATAATAATTTTTTGTCAGAAAAAAGGCGTATAGTCAAAGATTATTCACCTAAAAAACCGCGTAGTGCTCTTAATTATTTTACACGAGAATTCAACTCTTCAGAAGATACAGCACATATTTTACCGAAAGAGAGATATAAGTTATCGCGTAAAAAATGGAAAGAAATGTCGACCGCTGAAAAAGATGTATATATCATTATTATTTCGTTTTGTTATTCTATAATAAAATTTAATTTATTTTTTTTCAAATAATGACAAATCCTTTTTTATAAAGAAATATGTGGATAAGTCTCAAACTGATAAAAAGAAATATGATCGTGAAGTCGCTGGCAAAGAACATCAGCTTCGTCATGATAGACCCAGTGAGGGAGAGCGTGAACTTTTATATGTTCTTGTTCCGACTCCTAGTCGTCAAATGCTTTCCGCGTACCAAGATTATCATAATTCTGAAACGTCATCACCAACAACTAACTCAAACCGATTAGGTCAGAATGGTACTACTAGGAGTGATTCTAACGTTACTAATGACACATGTGAAACTGTTGATAATATTGAAGGTTCGACTTCGAGTGCTGTAAATCATGCTTCTAATATTATTGAAGCTGATTCTTTCACTGATCAATTGAATTAGTGAAAATGAGTTTTTATGATGTTTTGTTATTCGTTTGAAATGAACGAAAGGCTTTTTAAATAGTTGTTATATTTTGTATTTCATTTATTTTTCATTTTATTATTTTGGCTTTTGAAGTTTAGCTGAATTAGTTAGTAGTCAATACTTTGTTGGGATTTTTTTTTTTTATTCTTTGTTGCTTGCAAAAGAAAAAATAAATAAATTGCTTTTCATGCGTAAATAGTATTCATTGTATATTTTATGCCTGATTAAATATTCATGATTTTAATACTGAATAGACGCACACTAAAATTTACAGTATTCAATAAAATATTTTGAAGGACCGTTATTAAATCGTAACGCCAAATTTGCTCTAAAAAAGATTTAAAGAGTAGATACTATAACTAGATAAAGTATTAAGATTTATAAATAATCTTACGTATTAATTACTGTATATGATAAATATAATATAATAATATATAACTGTTATTAGTTATCTTAAGAATCTAAAAAAAGTATAATTATGATACTAAATTTATTTTATTGGTTAAAAGATTATAAATACAGTATATAATTACTATTCTAAAGTATTCATTATAGACAAATAACTCAAAAGGTTCTTTGTTAAATTTATCATTTCAAATCAATAGTTTCATAGTATTAAATATCGGTATTTACTGTAAAGAAAAAAATTTTTTAAGATACATAAAGTTAATTCATATCATAAGTTAAAATTTAATTTTTATGACCCAAAGATTTTATAATAAATTATTTTTTATGAAATTTTATTCAAAAATCTACAAAAAAACTGGTATTTTATATAAAAATAACAATATAAGTTATTAAATTTTACAACGATGTTGTTTATTATAATTCTCAATACATGTTTGAACAAATCGACAAATTCTTTGACCTTTTTTTTTGTTAGCACCTACGCGTAGGGTTCCAAACTCTGTCCCGGATAACCGCGTAACCGATAACCCGACCCGAAAAAATTATTATCCGGGTCATATTTTTGACAAACCGGATAAACGGATCAACGGGTCACCCGTCAATAAATAGGTCACCCGTCAATAAACGGGTAACCCAACTTTCGTCTGATTGGCTGATGTAAATACACTTTTTTAAAAAATGTAATTTGAGTGGTTGATTATCACGGTTATCCGGGTCACCCGACGGGTGACCCGTTTTAGTCGGATAGCCGGTTTAGTTTCGGGTCATGGATAGGAATTTGTAAACCGGTTTGGAACCCCACCTACGCGCAGTGTTGTCATGGGACACGGACGCGGACAGCGGTGTAAGGGTCGAAATTACCCACCCCGATGCTGCGCCTGGTCCGGAGGAAGATCGTCAAAATTTTCAAAATTTCGAAAATTTCGAAAATTTTGAAAAT